GCGTGCGTCTTGTGGTGCAGTGGTACTGTCATTCCCTCTGAACCAGAAGATCAAGGTTCAAATTCCACTTGCATTGGAGTTATGTCACAACATATTTGAACAAAATGATTAAAAATAACAGATTACTCATCAAGTAATTGAATGATTCATTGGGACACGGTTCAAATATCAAGCAATAGTTTTTTTTTGTCTTTATAAATGCAAAAGGATTTCCAAATCATTGCACTTGATTGAAATTCTAAATCATTCTTTGCACTGGTATTAATTACAGTCCACTGACTCAAAAAGATACTGGTTACAACATCTCAGAATTCTCACTAGTTCTTAAATCTTCGTCAACTTGCTCCTTTTATAGTTATTGACCGAAACACCTCTTTCTTGGTTGTAGGAGAGAGATAAGCAAGTGGATGGTATAAGTTGGATGTAGGAGAATTTTTGTTACAAAACTTGACAAATTTTGTCCAGAATGTCCCAATTACAAGTTTTTTTTGTAACCAAGACCGATTTAAATAAAGAAAGCAATGATATAATTTTAAAAAAAAAAACCAAGTAGACAAAAAGTGAGCAATTACCCAATTGACAATAGTGATGATTTCGCCTTCTTTGACAGTCAGCTCGGCATTTCCAGGTTCAGCTGTAAAGTTGTACAAAACACGGGCCTGTTCATCGAGAATGAAAGAAAACAGTTAACAAAATGCAACCCAAGTTATTCTGTATTTAAGTAGTCATAAGCTTTCGCATATGGGATGTAAAACAGCTACAAAGGGTAGATGAAGGCAGTGTTTCATCTGGAAATGATGGTTTCTAACTTGATCAACTCTGTGTTAAATATATAACAGCAACAGCTATTACAAGTGTCAATTTGCATCCAAGCAGACAGTGAGACAGAAAACAGTACACCTCTGTGAATAAGTTTATCAGTCATACATTCTTATTTTTAAAACCAACCTGTCCAAACATGTTATGACACACCTTTGGAGGAGGTGGGACTTGAACCTGAGCCTTCTTACCCAAAGGTGGGAACATTACCATGGGTCACAAAACTAGGGGTGGCACGGTGGCTCAGCGGTTAGCACTGCTGTCTCACAGCATCAAGAACCAAGAACCCGGGTTCGATTTCCCCCTCGGGCGACTGTCTGTGTGGAGTTTGCACATTCTCCCTGTGTCTGCGTGGCTGTCCTCTGGGTGCTCCAGTTTCCTCCCACAATCCAAAGATTTGGATCTCAAAGATCCAAAGGTGGACTGGCCATGCTAAATTGCCTGTAGTGTTCAGGGATGTGTAGATTAGGTGGGTAATAGGTCTGGGTGGGATGTTCTGAGGGTTGGGATGGACTTGTAGGGCCAAAGGGCCAGTTTCCACTCTGTAGGGATTCTATGATCTATGATCCTAATTATAACACAGGGATGGTAAAACAATCCAAATCCACCTATCACTGGATTTTGCAAAACAGTGGAATTAAAACATTCAATGACCCTCAAAATTACTCAAGCATTTATAACCAGACTTCAGGAACAACTAATCTTGAATATCACATTTATAACCTAAACAAATATTAGAACAAAGATCAAAGAAAATTACAGCACAGGAACAGGCCCTTCGGCCCTCCAAGCCTGCGTCGATCCAGATCCTCTATCTAAACCTGTCACCTATTTTCCAAGGATCTGTATCCCTCTGCTCCCTGCCCATTCATGTGTCTGTCTAGATACATCTTAAATGACGCTATCGTGCCCACCTCTATCACCTCTGCTGGCAACACGTTCCAGGCAGCCACCACCCTCTGCGTAAAGAACTTTCCATGCATATCTCCCTTAAACCTTTCCCATCTCACCTTGAAATCATAACTCCTAGCAATCGAGTCCCCCACTATGGGAAAAAGCTTCTTGCTATCCACCCTGTCTATACCTTTCATGATTTTGTAGACCTCAATCAAGGTTCCCCCCTCAACCTCCATCTTTCTAATGTAAACAATCCTAATCTACTCAATCTCTCTTCATAGCTAGCGCCCTCCATACCAGGCAACATCCTGGTGAACCTCCTCTGCACCCTGTCCAAAGCATCCACATCCTTTTGGTAATGTGGCGACCAGAACTGTACGCAGTATTCCAAATGTGGTTGAACCAGAGTCCTATACAACTGTAACGTGACCTGCCAACTGTTGTACTCAATACCCCATCCAATGAATGAAAGCATGCCGTATGCCTTCTTGACAACTCTATCGACCTACGTTGCCACCTTCAGGGTACAGTGGACCTGAACACCCAGATCTCTCTGTGCATCAATTTTCCCCAGGGCTTTTCCATTTACCATATAGTTCGCTCATTAAGAATGTATCATTGGCAGAATGCAGAAAAAACAAAGTCAAAGGCAATCTAATAAACATCTATGATCTAAGCCCAATCTTTATTGATCATAAACCACCACTCATACACTGACAGAGAAAAGGGATAAATTCTAAAATAAAAATGCCTTAGTTTGTTTGATAATTATTGAATACAATGAATACGAGGCCTTCATAAAAATAATTGTTGATGGATTATATAACAGGCATATAGGACTATATATCATGTCTGAATTCCAAACTCACCAATCAACACACACAGCTTCCATCAACCTCTGGAAACCTTTACTTATTTCTTACAACCGGGATTCTTTTCTCAGAACTTTCAACCAGTCACTAACCAGGGAGAAAGCAAAACCAAAGCCAGATTCTCAGTCTTGCAGCTTCCAACTTATAACTGCCTCCTACCCAAAACCCAGTCAGGGGCAGTTCATCCTTTGTCTTCTTTTTCAACATTTTCTGTGGTTGGCTTGCCAGCACTGGTCCTCCCTTGACTGACCAATTCAACATCCAACTAGTTGCCAGTCCTTTAGCATAACAACATCTCAGTGCAGAACATTAATTAACATGCATTATCCTTCCAAGCCAGCTCACAACAGCAATTATCTGGCTTTTGTTCTCCCCTCGTGTTTTTAAAAAAAAAAAGCTGCTGTTCAGAGTTCAAATTTCAAATCTCAAATGCATTGCTCAGTTCTAAACCAAACAAAAATTTAGAAAAATAAACAAAGTGATGGTTTCAATACCCTATCAAGCAATACAATCTTAGTTTCTTCCACCTGCTCCCTCATCATATCTGCACAGATGTACTTGAAATCAACCGGATCAGACACATTATGACACACATCTGGAGCAGATGGGACTTGAACCTGGGTCTTGTAGGTAGTACCACATCCTCTGTGCAATAACAGCCCTCATATCTGCCTAATTAAACAATTAACTCTAATCAACTGATTAACTACTCACTATATTAAATTGATTCTCATTTTTCTTCAAATAAAAAGCTTTTCAAAATATATACTACTTAAACAGAACTAATGGACAGTTAATCGACAGACTTTGTTCTCTGACCAAATAGGTCGATTCTGATTAGTCAGGCTGTTTTATATGGGAACGCAGCTTTCAGTGACAGTGTAATATCAGTTAAATATGTCGTAAATCCCAACAGTTAGCAAACCATTTTAAACAATTCATCCAGTTGGTAGTCGAGTTTGCCCTTCACAACAATATGGAGTTCAACACTTTCAAATTGTGAACCCACTCCCATTTCTTCCCCCTTTCTTTTAACTTTACTTATTATATTTGCTGTCACCATGTCCCCTCCCCTCTCCCTCCAACTCAATGGGACTGTCTGTTCCTTCCAGTCTGGCAGTTAGACACACCATTGTTCTGCCATTCACACATTCTGATCACTTAGTCTGAACTATCAGCATCCTTTCTCCCCCAGCACTCAACTGCACACCGCCCACCCAATAGCATAAATGTTGCCCCAATAGCTTGCTTTCTCACCATGGATGCTGCCTGACCTGCTGTGATCTCCAGAGTTGTGTGTTTTCGACACATCCCATTGACCATTTTCAGCAGGCAGCACACTGCTCATGCTCAATCAGCCCATGAGATTGTCAGCATTAGAATACCAAGCTTGAATTAGATGTGATGGTCAGCATTTTAAAGAAAAAACCTAACTGTGCTAAGAATTACACCAGGTATCAGCTTAAGATCATGAGTTGGGCTTGCAATGTTTTGCATTTGCACGTGGTAGAAGCTACATATATTAGCACGTAGGATTGTGTTATATGAAGGCAAAGGGATTTTGGACACATATTGCACTTTATTCATAATTGAGAGAGGGGTCATGGATACTGCAAATCTCATGGCAACACGCTGACCAATCTGAGTCTTCCTGCCTGGTCCGAGAACTAAAATAGACTGTTAGCCTTTCCTGCTGTATCTCCATGCCAACAATGTACCATAGAGTCACTATACTGTATCTCATGCTGTAAAAAATTTTTTATTTTGTAACTTTTACAATAAAAATAAAAGTAAATTATTCTGTCTTTTGCTTTACAATATAACTGACCTGTAGCAACATTTCTTTCCACATTCCATAACAGAATCAACCTTCCACATTAATCCTCCTTTCTTGAAGGAAAAAGCAATCAATCCACCCATACAAAAACTGATATTTCATGTTCTTATGAATAAGTCACTTGGTAATAAAAATCTTGAGTACTGCTAAAAGAAAGATGCATTTTGCAGAAGTTTTGTCTTCTACTCATGCGAAAATGTTGCAAGAAATACCAATGTAAAGAGAACATAACATTCATACTGTACGAGATAGAATGAACAAAGAACAAAGAAAATTACAGCACAGGAACAGGTCCTTCGGCCCTCCAAGCTTGCACCGACATGTTGCCGGTCACAATTAAAACCCCCTACCCTTCCAGGGACTGTATCCTTCTATTCATAGAAAACAGATACAAGAGAAGGCCTTTCGGCCCTTCCAGCCTGCACTACCATTCAATGTGATCATGGTCGATCATGCAATCTCAGTATCCCACTCCCACTTTCTCTCCAGAACACCTTGATCCCTTTAGCTACAAGAGCCACATTCAGTTCCCTCTTAAAATATATCTAAACGAACTGGCCCCAACAGCTTTCTGAGAGAGAGAATACCTCAGGTTCACAGCTCTCTTAGTGAACAAATTCTTCCTCATCTCAGTCCTGGATGGCCTACGCCTTATTCTTAGACTGTGACCCCTAGTTCTGGACTTCCCCAACAATCAGGAACATTCTTCCTGCAACTGGCCTGTCCAGTCCCAACTCTCCCATGTCCCAGCCCCTACCCCACACACCAGACCCTGCCACCACACATCCTGCCATCACACACTCCCCGTTGCCAGTCACCAACAGTCCCCATCAACAACCACTCACCCTCCCAGCCCGACCATTAGCAACTCCCTTGTCCATCCAACTGTCCTTTTCTCTCTCTGGGCTCCACCCCAATGTCCATTCCCCACCCCACTCTCTGCACACAAACCAACGTTTTCCCAGCTACCATCAGCCCCAAGGAAGGGTTACTGGTCCCGAAACGCCAACTCTTTTTTCCTTCACAGATGCTGCCAGGCCTGCTGAGCTCCTCCAGCAACTTTTCCTTTGTTCCAACAGGATTTTATATGCTATGAGATCCCACCTCATTCTTCTAAATTCCAGCGAATACAAGCCCAATCGATCCAGTCTTTCTTCATATGTCAGTCCTGCCATCCTGGGAATCTGTCTGGTGAACTTTTGCTGGACTCCCTCAATAGCAAGAACGTTCTTCT